GTAAATGCATGACCTCTGACATTTAAACTGACTTTGTAAATTTGTAAATATTTGTGTTTATTTTGCTATGTTATGGAGCCTCTTTATATTTAACAAATTGGTAAAAATCAAATTTGCCATTTACTGACAAGTTTCCTTTTGCTAAGGAAGAGCATATTCATGCATTTTACTGCATATTCTGCAAGTTGGGGTTGTGATTAAAACGATGTTGAAACGCTGCTGGCTGGGCTCCCCCACTCTCACTGGATCAGCAGGACAGGGGCTTGTGCACAACTCTTTAAAGGACTTCTACGGAAAGTTCCTAGGTTAGCAGTTTTCCTCTTTCCCCTTGGGTTGTAGCTGCTAACAGAGCTGTGTCTCACCAGCCTCCCTGCCTGCCACTCTTCTGGCTGACTTGTGTTGCCAGGGCTCAGGGCACATGTCTGACATCCTTATTTCTGCTGAGTGGCAAATGTTTTTTTACATTATTGCTTAGAGGACAGGTCTAAAGATTGAAGAGAAGAAAGCTTCTTTTTCCCCCTCAGTGTTGATTTGTATACAAGGAGGGGGGGACAGAATTTTGTGCCAAATCGAGGTTTCAAAGAGGAAGAAGACATAAGAGAAAAAGATCTTTGTTCTTCATTGTTTGAGTTATCCTGTTATTATAGATGTACAGCAATGCTTTCCCCAAAGCAGGAGATTTAAGCTCAATTCAGATTAAGAATTTGGGAAACATTTCAAGCACACTTTATAATGTGTTGGCCATAAAATGTGGACTTTGTTTGGCTGACATTTAAATTAATTCACCGATTTAAAGGGTTTAGTTTGAGCATTCAAGTTTTAATTTAAAAAATTCACTTAAAAAAAAGTGTACAGCCATTCCTCAACTTTCATAGAGGTTGTGTTCTGCCTTTCCTTACAGAACCTGAGTTTTACAGGAGGAATTTACCATTTATTTATAAATAAACATTTTGCTTAGTTAAAAAACCCTTTTTTGGGTCATTAAGTAAATGCTACTGTGTACTTAGATTATATAGAGACCGTAAAACATCAGAGCCTGACTAATGAATACTGTACTCTTCAGTACCCTGCACTGTAGTGTTCAGTAAATAAGGTAAAAATTACCATGCTATGGGTCTTTCTCGTGTTGCAGTGAAAAAGCACAAATTGAAGTGTATAAGGGAGCCCTACTGAAAGCTGGAGTTGACAGCAGTACGTTTGCTTCTTGCATTTTCTCAGCAGAAGCAACCTACCACACAACTGGCTATTTACACATCTAATGTAAAATTTCTGTAAATTTAAAAGGTTTTATTTTGGGATCTCTGGAAGCTTTTCTGGTCAAACTGCCACATGTTGGGTCTTGTGTAACCTGGGGTGGGGGGCAGTGGAGGATGTAATAAAATAGGGGTGAATACTTCTGTAAGGTTCTGTGTTCTGGCATTTAGCGATACAATCAGTGCTGAATAATGGCAGTACATCTGTTGCATGTGTCAGCAGCGTGCCAAAAAGTCTTTATGGAATCTTCTTAACCATCCCCGAGATAACAGGGAAGAGAGATGAGTAGCTGATATCCTGGCTCTCACAGGAGGTCTTAGCTTGGCATCGTTTCCCAAGCTTCCCCGTGGGAGGATGTAATTTGATGGAAGGATGAGAAAGCCACTTGATGAGTTTTTCCTCGCGGGCAGATGATTGCTCAGTTTCACGATGGGGGAAATGTCCTGTTCTGTCCGTAGTTTAGACAGGGGATTGGTGCACCCTATTCCTGAAGCACACAGGCCTTCAGATGGTACAGAGCTCTCTAGTGCACTCATTTTTAGATTCCATGTAACCATAGTCATCTGTCCAATTTAAGATCAATTACTGTGTTAGCTGATTAAGAGCTTGGCTACAGAAAACTGCAGAGCAGTAGCATGTTCTGAGTTATAAGTATGGGCTGACCTCTGGTCAAAGACATCTTTGACTTGCCTGTGGCGACGTTCTGGTGTACCATTGGCTAAGCTGTGTTTGAGGCAGCCAGAGTGATGCCAGCTTATCTTTCAGCAGCAGCTCCTCAGAACTTACTATGCCCCTGTGAGCTTGCAATTGAGTCAGGGAGAGATGCATCACTGCTAACCCCTGTAAGGCAGTGTGGGGTTCCTGGGGTGTGAATCAGTCCTTGGCTATGATAGATGTGCATGCCTCAGGAGTAATGCACCAGCAAAATGGCCATTTTTTATTTTGCGTAAAAAGATTGGGTATCTTGACTGGTGCATGTTGGTTGACCCTGGGGATTTAAAAGGATGGAAAATTTAATGTGCTGGACAGCTCAAGTCAGACTGTCGTCTGTTAATTGTCCCTGCGATGACGGTCTCGATTGCTCAACAGGAAATGTTAAATGACATTTTTGTGGAAATCGAATGACAACCGCTGGGGAGCCTTTGAAAAGTATGTGATAATATCTTTGAAACCACAGAAATTAAAACAAAAGTTTGTTTAAACTTTATTTAACTTCATAAAACCTACCCTTGACATATCCTAACAAAGCCCCCATCGTCATCATTACTTTGTACTTTGATCTGTTGATGTGTGAGGAGGTGCCCACATTATCTTCCTCCAGCTGGCTTCCTGTTATGCCCCCTGGTTCTGTTCCCTCCACACAGAGCCTGAAGGAGATGTTTCGGGATCTGTTCCCTCCTGAAGTTCTCCAGCTAAGCTGCACAAGGTGGATGACTCCATGGAAGAATCCCTGATTCTCACCCTGCCCCTTCTGGGATCTGGAATATCAAGAGACTTCCATCTCTGCCGTCTGCGCTGCGTCCTCGCTCACCGGAGACCGAGGCGCCTCGCCCGTGTGCGCAGGACGCACGCAGGATCTCCCCAAGGACCTCCTGGGAGGTCTGTCAGCTGCTGGAAAAAGACTGGCGCCCCTAACCCCCCCCACTCAGAGATCCTCTTGGGAACACGTGCCACAGCCGAAGACTGGGCGTCACTCTTGCCAGCGCCTGCGTGCCGAGCTGAAGGAGGGTTTGGAATCCCTCGGGGAGCTCAGGGCTCAAGCCCCTCCACCTGGACCGCTGGATCGCTGAGCAGGCCGTGCAGAGCGGACCTCTGGCTCGCCATTCCAGGCGTGGTTTCCAGAGGACATTCTGACACTTCTCACCGGCCACAATCGCTACCGATTATTTTCTGTAAATATACGCAGTATCCACTGTACGTTTTACTACTCAGCTGTATAGACTTTTAAATCGTACATATCGCGGAGATTGGTTTTTATTTGTAGATTTCTTTTTTGTTCGTTTTACCTTATCGGAACTTATGTCAACGCCTGTGCCAAGATGCATTCCTTGTATATCTTGTACTTTGCGAATAAAAGTTTCTGATTTCTGATTGAGGCCCCTGATTCTGCCTCAACCCCCCACCTCAGTCCTTGGTTTCCAATCTCCCACATGTGGCACCTCTGACCCTCGCAGGTACTTAAACGGACATGTTGTTAAAGTGCATTTCAAATGACTGGTAATTGGCAGTTAAAAAAATGCCAGATTTGATTGTTTTTTTTATTTTTTTTTTAGGTTTTATGACGCCCTGTTGTAGGGGCTAGCAACCTTGGGTCTTTCCAACCGAGCGCCTGTTTCTGCCAATCGTTAGTTAATCATTGAAGTGATCTTCTGTATCTGTTTCAATCAAGCAATGGAGAAGGATTCAGGATTTATTCCATTTAGACGGAAAAAAGTCCTGTAAGGGACCTGGAATGAAAGATCCAAGGCTTTCTATTCCTGACCTGTCTCTGAAACACTGATG